TTTTTCTGCCAAGAAATAATCACCATGCCCACATACCTAAGTGTCTGTGGTCCCTGTGTTCACATAAGGTATGTCTGTCGAAAAGAGGTACTTTGGAAGAGCATCTTCCTTTCTTTAAAACGGCATTGCTCATTGCTGAGAAAGTTCCATAAAACAAAATTTACTTGCAACAGCAAAGAGGGAAAACTAAAGATTTCTTTTCTGCTTAGTTTCCCAAATGCAAATCTCTGAAAGAATGCGTTTAGTTCTCCCTGCCTTCCAGATTCGTCAGAGTGGGTATTTGCACCTGGATTAAATAGCGGTCCTGCTGGCACACGTTGGACCTTGCCCCAGAGAGACAGGAGAAAGTGCAAAGGCTGAAAAAGAAAGGGAAGCTGTTGTTGTTTTAGATTTAGAGCAGGAAGATGTTTACATACACAGTAGTTAGGCATAGCCAGTATGTTTCTCATTTTAATCAATCAAACAGCACTCATTTGAAACATCACATTTTTCTTCCTTTCGGCAAAAATTCTGTGATTCTGCCGATAAGAAAACAAATAGTCCCTGCTTACACGTTGCCACCAGCCAGCCACATTCCCGTCCATGTGCCAAAATTCGAGAGAAATTACCATTTTTATTTTTACAAGGAACTAATTCAGCCACTGTCCAACATCTGTTTAGCCACATTGCATGGAACATGCTTGGCCCTGTGACAGAGGTGGACCTTCCACAGCCCCTCTCTTGTAGGACACTCTCTGGCATCTGGCTTGTGTCTGCTTGGTAGCAAAAGTTTCTGCCTTATTTTATTTTTCATTTTATACAAATGCTTTTAGTTTCCCCAGATGTACTACATATTTCTTATTCAATATGCATGTGTGCATATCTGTGTGTGCATGTGTGTGTTTACGTGTGTGTGTGTGTGTGTGTGTGTGCATGCATGTATATGATTAAGGTCGCATGAAGTTTCACATTTACCCCTACACTTACTGATATTACCACAAAGAGTAAGGAAATATTTCATGTCCTGAATGAAGCACCTTTACCGCTCTGAGGAGTTCCTATTTAACACAAAGAAAACAGTTTCATTAAAAGTATCTTTGCAGTGTCTCAACGTTTCTTCATTTTCTCCTCCGTGTTTCTGTTGAAAACTTCTTATTTAAAAAAAAAATAAATCCCATAGTAAAACATTCCTTTGACTAAAAATTCCATTCATAGGTCATAATTATGGAGGCAATAAAATGAGCAAGAACTACTGTCCTTCACTTATACTTACAGTTTAATACCATATTATTAAATTTCCAGTTCCTATTAGTAAAATGGCATTTATAACCCGTTCAGTCGGCTGAATAAAAAGCTTCATTCCTTAACATCACAATGCCCGAATGCAGAATAAACTATAATGCCAAATTGCTTCTATTACCGAACAAAAATATGAAGCATAATATAAATGGTAAATTTTTCAGAAAACAGCTGGAAAATATTGTTCTCTCGACAGAAGTTACTTTAATCGTGGAATAATTCCCAAGCCATGATATCAGCATTTAAATTTTTTGTCTGTCCCCTGGGCACAACTTTACGATTTTATGTTTAACTAATAAAGGTTATTTCAGTTGTTTATTGACAGTTATGACTGTCAGTTACCAAACTAATAAAATACATGAACTCTAGTATTTGTCACAAGAAAACTGTGTAGCTTTATGAACATATATGGTATTTTTTTCTGTGCACTTTATAGGTTGTGTAACCGATACCGAGGCTCTAAATATCTGAAACAGTGTCTGCCCTGAAGGCACCATTTCCTTGCTGTTACATTAAACTTAGTTACTACTTAATTGTAAGATGTTTTAATTTAATAAGCTTTATGGCTGTACATCTAATTAGTATTCTACTCAGTCATCCAATTTGGTATGTACTAGGTGCCAGGTGCTACGTGGGATCTAGGGATTAAGCAAAACCTTCCCAGTTAAGGAAGACTCAGACTTCCTGGTCTTGTCCGATACTGACTTTTTAAGATTCCAGATGCTTCAGATACTGAAATCTGAGAAGAAGTAATGACCATTGCTTAAATGAATTAAGTTTGGCCTAAAGCTGCCTTCATATATGATGAGCTGCAACCTAATTTGTCACGTAAACAGATGGTAACTTACTCTTCTATTAAGTAGCTGAGTCTAAATCACAAGCAAACAACTGTTCAAACTATGTTTTAATAAGGTCCACATAAGCTGTAAGGAATTAGGCTATTTGTGTCTCATTTCCATTTTCTCTAGCTACAAATAGATGCCCGGGATTTCTGATCCATGTTTGATTTAGATTTCTGTCTGCTTCTAGAACCCATAGCATAGCCAGCTTAGATATTCAAACTTGGGTTTGCTGTAGCTTTTTTGTGATGTGTGTGTCTTTGTGTTTTGCTCTAATGCTCATTTCAAATAGGATCTCTTTACCATGGAGATCACAAATGTCAATCACCATAAGACTAGGAAAATAACAATAAGAATTGAAGAACACCATAAACAGCAATGCTATTTAAGTTTATTGGATTAGAATTATATTCTAGGGGGCAGAAGGCAGCAGTGCATGCTGTGTGCTCAGATTCACAGCATCATCAGAGCTGCTCCAGTGCTATTTAGATGCAGATGAGACATACTTACACACATCATATATGGTTCTTATTATTCAAGGTACATGGAATTGTAGACCCATTTCCCCTAGAGGGAACTAACCAATAACCCTGGCTTATATGAAAATCCGATGCTCAAGTCCTCAAGCCCTGTCTATAAAATGGCGTGGCACTTGATTATAACCTATACACTTCCTTCCTTGGGTTTTAGTCATCTCTAGAAGGCTTAGAATACCTAATACAATGGAAATGCTTTCTATATAGTCATTGTGTTACAATATTGTTCATGGAATAATGACAAGGGAAAAAATCTCCACATTTTCAACACATACAATTTTTTCCCCAAAATCATTTCCATTCATATTTGGTTAGATGCACAAGTATGTAGAATCTTCAGACACAGGGTTAGGTTGCTACATTCCTCTAGCCACGTGTCTATAAACTGACTAAGATAGAGCCTTGATTGTTGTATATTTCTATATAAAGATGCCTTTCTTTCCTTCAAAAGTATTTATTTGTTGACGTTGAATTCACAGCCAGCAGTGTCCTGACAGATGCCTAGCAGAGACTCTCTAACACATACGGCTCCTCCATGAGACACATCACTCCTCTCACACTGAGAAACAGGACAGCACTTCAGCATGGTGCTCACCGACCATGTGACACAGAGAAACTGCCACACAGTGCAAATAAATAAACCAACCAATAGCTAAGAAAAGGCTATGCGTGCACAGTTTGAAAGGGAAAACAAGAACGTGAGGTCTCAGCCAGCCTCAGGTAGACCAATGGCCATATGCTACTGAGAGAGCCCCAAAGTGCTGTGTTGCAGATGTTTTAACTTGGGATTACTTTTTTTGAAATCAAACAAGCACCTTTGCAAACATGAAGCATAATGAAAATCCAGTGTGCAAAAGGCATGAATACATTTCAAGCATTTTATTCACAAAAATGTAGGCTGATTATTGGTGTTTGATGCTCGCTCTCTCTCCCTTCCTCCCTCCCTCCTTCCCTCCCTCCCTCGTGCCGCGCCCCCGCTAGAAATGAAAGCCAGGGCCTCACAAGCTAGGCAGAGTTCTACTCTGTGCTATATACTCCACTCCTGCATATTTGCATTGTTTCTATACCCAGTATGTTTCAGGAGACGGTGTCTTTGAAGTCTGCTTTTCAGATAATATAAAGGCTAGCACACAATTTACCTGGTGCATACACCACCTATGACCTAATATTTATCCAGTCGGCTTATCTGAGCATCAATAATGAACAAAACCATGGTGAAAGTTTTATAATAAACAGGAAACATGATGAAAAATAATTTATTGGATAATATACCCATAAAAGATAAATTCAGGGACTAGAGGGATAGACCAGCAATTAAGAGCACTTGTTGCTCTTCCGGGGGACCTCAGTTCAGTTTCTTGCATCTACACTGGGTGATTTAATGACCTTCTATAGCTCCAGCTCCAGAGATCCTAATGCCCTCTTCAGACACCTATACACAGACATACATGTAAATAAAAAATAGAAATAAATCTTAAAAGTATAAACTCTTTATGTTGAAAAAATAAATGAATAATTAAGTGCAAAGTTCAGACTGGGGATGTAACTCAGTGGTAGGCAACTTACTAAGGGAGGGAGAGAGATTTATCAAGGATATGTAAAATTTTTTCATATCATTAGAGTGTTGCTTGATCCCAGAGTAACACCATCAGTCAAATGACTTTGAAAAGACTTTTGGCGACCCCAGACAAGTCAACATCTATAGAACTCACCAACAAAGATTGGCTAAGGAAGTACCCTGGCTAGAAACACCAGGGGGAATCCAAACAAAATCTAGCTGGTTCAGAAAAGCTCTCTTCAGAAGTTTTACAATTTTAAGCAAAATCCTCTTTAGCCTAGAATCCACAATGCCATCTGTCCATCCACACTAAGAGAAAAATTAATAATAAAAACAAATTACTAAGAAATACAAGAAAATCCTTCCTTTCAGACAAAGAAACTAAGTTTTCTATGCAAATTTTATATTTGTCTATTATCGTCTCTTACCCCCAAATCTCACAACAAGGTAACTACTCCAACCACAAAATGTGAAAAATAATTTCTATGCAGCTTTGTTTTCAAGCCTGCGTTCCTGAAATAAGTACAGAAATTAGGACAGCAGTCATGCGAATGCGATTCCTGTGAGCACGTACCTGGGCAGACCCGCAGAGACAGGGCTTGGTGCCCTGCCTACTGCTCACACGCCCCCACAGCCGGAGAAAGCCTCAAGTGTTGCTGACCAATTTTCCCCGATTCGTGGTCATCGTCTGCCTCTTTCCTGGAACAGGACGCTCTTGCAAAGTTTGCCCACGGTCATTCAGACGTGGCAGCTAATCACTCCCTACTCAGCGTTGCCTGGACCACTTACCTGCTTTTTCCCAGCGTTTGATTTGTCAAAGATCAAAGTGGAAGAGCATGAAGGGAAGAAAGACTCGTGAGCACTAACTGTCTGTCCTTGATGTGGGAGGACTGATGGGGCGCTTAGAATATGACAGGAATTCAATCCAGCGAGAGGAGATTAGGAAATCAAGACCTAAACCAGAGGGTGACCACAGGCTAAAAACATCTCTCAAGGTACCAAGGTCAAAAGCAGTGGGGGAGCACTGTAGAGAGAAGTATGCCAGGATCAAATTAGAGCCACTCGCTTTGACCCTCATCAGCCTAGCGTTGGCTTGCTTCCTGGACCACACATGCCATCCCTCTTCATTTCTGGCAGCTGACATTAGTCTGTACCAGCACATTCCTGAAAACGATGGGATCCCAGAGTGCCTTTTGTTTACCAGTGATACTCCGCACAGTCCCTGTCTCTTACTCCGTGTAAGTGAAGGCATTTAATTAAACCTCTCATTTTAACACAAAGTAATATCTTGTGCATTCATAAACAGTCTTTTTGCCTGGTTCATTTCAGTGTTACCCACTCATTTGGTGGATGTGTGGTTTCATTTCTAAAAAGAAGGGATTATATGGGAGAAGCCAGACAAGCGGGCTGGCTGTCAAGCTTAGGACCATCATCTAAAGATTAATGTTCCCCTAACTGTCACTGTTGATAAAGAGGTAGAGACCACTTTATTCATCCGATTGGGTTACATTCCTTAGTGATTTTTGTATCCTACTCTTAGAAACCACCATGCCCAAACCATGATCTCCTTATTTTTAAAAAAAAAAAAAAAGTCTACTTTGTTTCAAATCAAGGAAACTTTCCCTACCAAATTAGACTGACTTTTATCCATGCATAATTACTAGATATTAGTAATTATGCTGTAAGAGGCAGTGGCATGCGTGTCTTTTCAAACCCAAAGAGGACCATACTTGCTTTCTTCCTGCATTCATTTCTTTCATATTCCATATTCATCACCTTCCAAATCAGAGCGAGTGTGTGCGACTTAGTCTTATCTGCCATCGCCTTTCTGACCATGCATGGGTTAAGTATGTGTATGCATTAAGATATGCCTTCCTTTGTCATCAATCCTTTGTCCCCAACGTAATGGATTCCTTAACGTGGCTCAAGCACTTCTCTCCAGCACATATCTGCATGGGATGCATGTCTATATATACACATGTGATTTCACAATGTTCACATGATTTGAGTTCTAATGTGTTTGCTTATCCTGAAGGCTTCACCAGCCTGGAGCTGTATCACATTCTTCATTCTGTCTGCTGGCTAAGGCTACTGGGAAAGCCATTCACACCAGTCCTGTGTTTGGAGAGGGGAATAAGATACTATGATTCCATTTCAACAGAGCATGGCCAGAACAGACACAAATTACCCAGACTGAGGAATGGCACCTGGCCAGGGAGGTGCCTGCACAAACCGGGAGGGTGCCTTAAGTGCCTGCCTCCTTTTCCGCACCTCCCCCCTCCTACTTTTCACTATAGTTAGCTTTTCCTTGATGCTGCTTGCCTGTCTGCTTTGCTTCAGTTCTGGGGTATAGTTGAGTGGAGTTCCCTCTAATGATGTCTGCACTGGCATTTATTAGAGTGACCTCCTTTTTGCACCATTGTTAATTGATTCTTTCAAAAACATACACATTAAGGACTGCTGTGTGATGTTGTCACACATGTGCGCATTGTGAAATGCTTGAATCAAAGTGTTCATATCTAGTTCTTCAAAGGCTTATCGTCTGTCACTGTGTTGAAATATACGTTACCATCTGTCACTGTCCTGCTCTTGAGGAAATGTCAAGCCTCTTTCTCCTCTACAACTGTAACTCAGTACCCTTGATCAACACCTCCCTGCCCCTCCTCCCTGCTCTCCCCAGGATCTGGTAGCCACCTGTTTTCTCTAAGCTGCTGTGAGATCCACTATATGAATAAGATGGTGCGATGTTTGTCTTTATGTGCTGGGCTTACTTCCTGTGATATAAGAGGTCTAGCTCCACCCTGTTGACGCAAATAACAGAATCTCATCCTTTCTGTGGCTGAATAGTATTCCACTGTGCATATGTACATTTTCTGCCCTAGTGAGATGAGCCTGAGCAAGCAAAAACTGGATACACATGTTAATGTGTAGGCACTGAAATAAAAATCTGATGTTCACATTGCTGAGTGTGTGCCCTCCATGGGCACATACCTTCTATCCATTTATACTATCACAGGTGAGTTCATGTCTCCGTATTTACTCTCTCTGCTCCTTTTGCTTTGGTTTTTGTTTTTGTGCAGTGCTTTTACATGGCTGTTGGTTGAATATATTTTGCATACTTGTGCTTACTGAGTTCTACCACTCTCAGCCCTAGACACTTCATTTAATGTGTACATTGCCCTACAGCCTTATTCGCGAACAGTGTATCATCTGCATCTACAGCCGTAACCAGGAAATGGTAAGCCATTTTACAGTCAACCCACAATTTCACCAACCTCCTAGTTCTTTACTCTTTTAATACATTTATTTATGTGGACCGGGGTTGGGGATATGAGTACACTGTACATGGGTGGTGGTCAGAAGACAGCTTACAGGAATGCGTTCTCTCCTTCCATTGTGTAGGTCTTGGGGATCAAACCCAGGTTCTTTAGATTTTGCATCAAACACCTTTTCCAGCGAGTTGACTCTTCAACTTCTCTTCCTATATCGATGAGAATGAAAAGTCTGTGTTTTATTACAGAAATGCTATACTGAATATTATTATACATCCACTGGTATTCTGGGGGTCCTAGAATTAAAGTTGAGATAACATAGTTGTATTGACTAGTTTTTATGTCAACTTGGCACAAGCTAAAGTCATCCAGGAAGGAGTATTGATGGAGAAAATGTTTCCATAGGATTGCCATGTTGGCAAGTCTGAAGGACATATTCTTGACTGATGATAGATGTGGGAGGGCCCAGCTCACTTTGGACAGTGCCATGCTGGCCAAATAGTCCTAGGTGGTGTAAGAAAGAAGGCTGAGTAAATAAGCCATGAAGAAACCAGTAAGGAGCACTCCTCCACATTCCTCAGCTTCTGGTCCTGTCTCCACACTCCTCCTTTGAGCTCCTGCTCTGCCTTCCTGGATGATGGACTGTAACCTGTAATCTGAAGTAAACCTTTTCCTCCTTAAGCTGCTTTTGGTCAGAATGGTTTGGTCAGTAGTTGTAAACAACAGTCTTCAAGCTGAGCCTACACACATGCCTGCAATCCTAGTACTAAGGAGGCTGAGAAGAGAAATGAATTTGAGGTCATCCCAGGTTACATAGTGAAACCTGAAGAGCCAACTGCAGACTCTGCTCCTGCCCTTGACTTTCTACCTTTGGGGTTTCCATCCTTCCGTAGTCAGCTCCTTCCTTCCTCAGCTTAGCACCTAAGACCTGCAGTGCTCTGTTCTCAGAGTCCTAATTTCTTGGTTAAAAAGCTTGTGGCAGGAAGGTTTTGTTTTGTGAAGTGAGTATTTAAATCACCAAGACATCTTGCTGCCTTGTGGGTTATCCTGCTGTTTGTTGGTTGGTTTGTTTCTGCAAATCATCGCTAAATGCATGAGTAGAGCTAAAAGTTATATTAAAGTCTAACACTGAAGCCAAGGGACCATTTAAACAAAAGTCAAGAAAGAGCAACAACAAAGGCCTGACCAAAAAGTCCCAGAACCTTTCACCCACTTGGCTTATGCAGGTGAACACTGTACTACAAAATCCAGTGTTAGTGTGGGAAAAGCTAAGCCTCTCACAGGCCAGCAGAGTGGACAAATGGATTTCTCATGCTCCTCTTGCAGGCTGTATCCTGAGTATTCTCAGTGCACATAACTTTGTAGCAGATTACTTAAGTAGTTTTACCACCTATATTACTGTATCCATCTAAAGACACACACACATCATATATATGTGTGTATCTATGTATGCATGTGTGTGTGTGTGTGTGTGTGTGTGTGTGTGATTTATTAGAGTATTTTATAGGCTGTGGCCTGGGAAGGCCACTAATAGCTGTTTCCAGATAGGGAAGCCAAGAATCTAGTAACTGATCAGTCCAAGAGATGTATGCCTCAACAGTCCAAGTGTGGTGCTGGAGTTCATGAGGATTCCTAGAGAGCTGCTGGCCTTCAGTCTGCTGGAAGGCCCTGCTTAAGGTTGCAGTCCACCAAGTCTGGACAGCTCTCTGAGCTCTGCCCAGAATGGAAGATAATTAGGTGTTGTGCTCCCAGCTATATGATGGGACCCTGCTGCCACATTTAAAGAAAGCATACCATGAGCACCTATCAGGTGATGCCCCAGCTGCTGTCCCCTTCCTATGTATTCCCCTCGCTCCCTGGAATAAAGTTGAGCTGTCTCACTGAAGCCATCTCCAGATGGTTATTTCCATCATACTCACAACCAGCCAAGCCCTGCTGGCTGTGTCTGCTCCCTTTATCCTCATAGCCTGGTGGCCACCAGACCATGAGGAAAGGGGAGACCCCACACAGTCTAAGTTGGAATCCTAAAAGACTAGGTTCTAATCCCAGCAAAGGAGTGACTGAGGAATGGGATAGATAAATGTGCCAGCAATAGTGAGGGAAAGCAGGCAAAAAAGCAAAAGCTTCCTTCTTCCACATTCTTTTATATGGGCTGTCACAAGCAGGTGTGGTCCAGACTCAGGGTGGGTCTTTCTGCCTCCCTTCAATCAAGAAAGTTCCATGGGGCATTCCCAGATGCTTGGGTTTTAGCTGATTCCAGTTGTAGGCAAGTTGAAAACAAGATTAAAAACATTTTTTTTTCTATCTCAGAGAGTGATTGAGGAAATTTAATAAAATTGCATTTTTATTGTTTATTTGTTCACATTCATCATAATCATTATCAATGTGTAATTAGTTAGGTAATTTCTGCAGCAGCACAGTCAACACTTATAACTTACATTTCCTGTACTTCCCTATGTCCCGGTGGCAACCAGCCTTCAGAGCGGACAAAAATCTACGACTTATAAAACTTTTGGTTAGTTTGTATGTGTCTATAAAGAATCCCTAGGATCCAGGAAAACCATTTTATTCCTTTGTCACAGCTCTGCTCGTCTTTAGTCACCTCCA